AGTCGGAACGCTTGACTCAGTCCTTTGTCGCAATGTCATCCAAGTTTCAACCCTACCCACCATGTGTGCTGTGCAATTGAGAGGACCAGTCATCTTGGCTTTACCCGATCAAGCCCCATCCATTCTCATAAATCATAAACATGCTTCTCATCCACGTAAATTCCACATGCCATGTGTTGTATGATTTTTGAATAGACCTTCATGCGTTAAAGACGCTCATCGCATTCTCTCTCTCTCTCTCTCTTTTATTCATTTTTTGAGTTTGGGGTAAAGAAGATGAAACTGCATCCCACTCTAGTGACCATGCTTCACAGCCATGGTGTATTCTTTTTCGGTACGATGGAGGCACGTTAACTAAACACTAAACAAGGAGCTGAGCTAATTGAGTCTTATGAGGGTTGTTGGAGGATCTTTAAGAACATGTAGTTCAAAACCACAGCCTTGTATTCCACTATAGAAGAAATGGTTGTCCAAGAATTGAGGGGACAGCGGCCACTAACCCTTCATGTTTTGGTGGAACTTTTGTTTTCAAAATAATGGTTGTCATTTTTGTTTGATTTTACCAGAATTCTTCTTTTACTATAAGTTTCAATAAATATCCTCTAAATTTTTTTTTTAGTGAAAGTTCTCTGTTTTTCATAGGGGTTCTTAGTTAAAATATTCTGCTTCTTCTAGGAGTGCTAGTGAGAATTTTCTTTTTTTTTTTTCTTCTTTTGTTGTTAGATCCAAATTTATTTCATATATAGTTATCAGATCCGGAATTCTGTTGGGTCTTGAGTCTCTTTCGACAGATTGCATCATAATTATTGGAACTTAAACCTGTTGATTAGTGGATTTGACAATTGCAACTTGCGCAGGAGAGATGTACACTGATTTAATCTTGTGATCCTAACTTGCCCTGCATATAAGCGGATATCTAACCCTTTTTTGACCCAACTAAAAAATGTGGATCGAATATCCTATTTTTCAGATCAAATCGGATCGAATATAATGAATTTTCATATCAACGGATATTTTTGTCTATCCTTATTTAGAGATTCTGGATTTACATTTCTCTGCCGCTTCTTAAATTTCACCTCTAAAAAAAAACACTAACTTGGACTGTCAATGGGGTTGGGCCAGCCCGAGCTCGACTCGCTCGGCCCGACAGAAAGCCCGATGAGCCCGATCATTTAGTGAGCCGGTCTGAGTCTAAACCTAAAAAATAGGCCCGAATTAAATGTGAGCCGAGCTTGGGCCTTATTAGGCTCAAACCCGATATAGGCCCGGCCCTTTAATTACCTATATATATAATATTTATATTTGATATTATGTATAATTATATATCCAAATATATTATTACTAAATACTAAATATATACATAAATTACAAAACACAAAAATACATCTAAAAACTCTTTCATGAGCTTTCTTGAGAGCCAATATTGATAATGCATAACTAAATCTCTAATTTTTCTTATTGGTTGAGTAAATTTTTGTATTGGCATAATATTGGTTGATTTTTTTTGGTCTACAAACACAAAAATCATTAAGCATATTTGGATTTCAATCACAAGATTATAAAAAAAGTTTCAACTTTTAAATATGTATTGGCTTATGATCGCATGTTTTATTACTATTTTTCATGCATTTTGAATGGATTAAATATAAATATTGTTGAAAATTTTTGGTTTATATACGTTTTAAGAACTATTATTTGTTCATGTTTAGTTTTAATATTATAGTCTTGTAAATGTTAAATTAGTTTTACAACTTAATAGTTATAGTAATTATATTAAAAAAATTAAGGAGTAATAAGTGAGTTTGGGCTAAGCCCGATTAAGGCTCACAACCCGAATATTATGTGAGTTGAATATGAGTTTCACATTTACGAACCCGAAACTCATAGTCCGAAACCCGAAAATAATTCAAATTAAATGAGCTGAGTTTGAACTCATCGGCCCGATTGACAGGCCTAACACTAACACATAGAGAATACCAAATCAACGAACCACCAATAATAATAATTTCTTTAAGGGTTCAAATACATTGGCCGGCATAACAATTTTGATCTTGCAACCAGACTCGTTAACGGCCCGTAAGTTGAAAGGAATACACCAGCCCGTAAGTTGAAAGGAATATGTAGGTTTGTTTGGACAGCTGATTATTTTCTCAAATATATTTGCTTACATCATCATTACAATTTTCAATATATTTTTTTATCTCATATACATCACATTACAAAAAGTGCTACAGTAAAAATATCTCAAATAACTTATAATTCAAACAAAAGCCTGCAAATTAAAAACTCAACGTCGACGGCCATGGGCAAAATAAATGGCAACGCTTGATAATGAGAATGGACCTAGGCCTTCACCAGAGCCGGCAAAAGGGCGTGTAGCCCAAATCTAATCCATTTTAAGATCATCAAAAGTAGGGTCACATCAAATGCTACTTCAGGTTAAGGCAGTGAAGAATCGACTCAAAATTTGATCTTTTCACGTCCATCTTTTGCTTTTGTCATCCATTTCTTTAGTACGCTTTGTTATTTGCCTTTATTGGTAATTCACAAGGACCTGTATTGCCGTTACTTTATAGAAATTTACCTTATAATTCGATGACCCTTTTGTCTACTGCTTCTAAACCAGCAAGATTACTCTGCATTTTCCTTTTTCTGGAAGTAACAAAGCATCTTTGTAGAAATCATTTTTCTAATTATGGATGTTTTCACAACACTTTCGGCTTAAATTCTTTGTCTACTATAGAAGCGCTCATGAATTTATGTTTAAGATCTTCGAAGTCCAAGATGTTACATAAAACTATAAAAGGTCATTAACATTTGAGTGGGTTTAAGTTACTTACTTGGTAACCTTAACTGTGCCTATGCCACCTTTTGCATAAAAGTCACAAACCACAATAGATACTTTTACTGTCTCCAAGACTCCAACGGGGTAGCTCAACCGGTGTGATTGTTTCTCTTTAGTCATGTCCACCAGGATTCGAGTCATGCTATTAATACGTTCGGAGTGGGTTGGGGCGTCCTCTCCGAGCCGCAGGGGATTAGTTGGGCCAAAGGTCCGGACACCCCTGTGTCAGACTAAAAAAAAAAAAACAATAGATAATTTTACTCTTTTTTTTTTGGCAAGAAAAAATTTTGATTAACTAAAAAATTCATATTTTCCTTCGCTATATGTAAGATCCAAAATAATTAAAGAATGAATTAATGTTGTTGGGTAATAAATCCAGAGCAGTTCGACCAACAGAGTTGAGAAAATGAATGGTCCAAACACCATTCATTAGTGATACAGAAGAATACGCTTTGTCCTCCATTGCATCTCATGTAAAACAAACGGATATGTTGTTAATCATCACTACATAAATAAACACCTAAAAATAAGATATGAGTCAACAGAAAGTAATTATTTATTTCCATAAAAGAAAGCCAAATACATACATCACATGGCAGTTTACGATGGACAGCAGTAAAGATGAAAGAGCAGAATAATGTGACGAGTTGATATTTGAGAATAAAGTGATGAAAGCAAAAGAGGTTGCAGATTTCACTCGTTCTTATTTCTTGAAATTCACTTAACTACACAAAGAGACTGCTAGTGTTCAAACAAACACAGGGTTGAATGATTAGGACGTGGATGAAGTCACGGAAAGGAAAAATTTAGCATTGATGGACTTGAAAAAAAAAAGAGAGAGAGAGAGAGAAGGTAGAAGTTAGGGTAATAGTGTGTGATGATAAAAAGAAGTATTGATTGCCTTACCAGAGTGTTTAACAACATTAATGTTGTTGATGCAGACATTTTGACAGTTATTGTGGACTTCCGATATGGGGATGTTTGACTTGGAAGGTGATTCTTATGAGCTAGTACAAAACATGATGAGCCTGATTATTCATACATTGATACTTGAGTGGAACAAGCTGAATTACTATTGCATTCAACATTAAAAAAAAAATGCAGGATTGTACATGTACACAGGTGATAGGACAGGGAATGCTGCACATGTTCTTGCGCATTTTGGGATTAGTTTGAAGTCTAAACTTGTTTCGTGGGATGATTAAATATTTCTATTGGTGGCGATGAATGAGAGTTATCTTTTCATTAAAAAAAAAAAAATAGCAGAACAGAATCCTAATTAAGCAGAGATTGTCGATAAAATTAATATTCACGGATTAGGTAGAGATTGTCAAGAAAATTAATATTCACGAATAATTAATTAAATAACAAGAGGCAAAACAAAACATGAGATTCCCTCTCGGCTATGTGGTGGGCATAATAAACTGTAAAAATTTTGGCTTCATCAACTCCTATCCAATTTGTTGTCTATACTGCTTAGTTTTAAAGCAAAAAAAAAACAGATTAAAAAGGTTTATCGTGGCTCGATGTAGTTTGTACAGCGTAAGACAAATAATCCCGTGAAATCGTGGCATCAACTTTTATCAACCATCCACCAGTTTGTCGATGCCTTCACATTATTGTTTTATACTCTTTGATTGGAACAGTCAACAACAGTTAATGAAATTTTAAGAATTTTAATTGTCGTTTGCACTCTGCAGAGATCACTTAGCCCGCTGGTTTCCACGGACTCCTAATGCTTAAACTTGAAGCCAGTTTCGGAGTCAGTGCTAGTTGGTCAACGTGTTTTCTTTTCCCTCCATTACATAAAAGATACTAAGACCTATTTTCATGTTCATACAGATCAACAAGTGTGAGTTAAAATAATTACATATTTACTTAGGAGTACTACTTTTCTTGATAATAGTATATCCCTTCATTAATCATGTTATTCCATTCAAACTAACTAGCTAGTGGCTCATGTTCTTAAATCATTCTTGGAACTTGACACACTTTTAATCATTCTCTGGAGGGGGGAAGGGGCGAGGGGTTCAAAAAATGAAACCCTGCTGGCTAAAAAGTAGGTTTCATTTCTCCTAATTAAGCAGGCCAAAAAAAAACACACACACACTTTAAAAAAAAAAAAATTTACTGATAGTCCTCGACAATCGCATGATTTCCCCCACTTAAAACGGATCTGAGGATAGTTATTATGGAATACTATATGTTAAATTAAACTCCAGCGTCATCTCACTTATATACAATCCTTCTCCAAACTAGAGAAAAGGTGGCAAAATGAAGTGAGACGACCGAATTACAGCTTCCAATGTTCGTATACAGTGAGTACAATACAAACATTGCCAAAGCTAACAAAATGTTAAGAAGTTCTTTTGCCATTTGGTTTTCTTTCCTTATGGTAGAAGAAGGTAAACTTGCATGACCAATGTTTGTCAACAGATGCATCATTAACATACAGATTGTAGCAAATTATCTTTCTCCCCAATCGAGTTCAGCGGGCGTGGGCAGCGAGGCCGAAAGGCCAGCTACCTTAGCTTCTGCCCAAGCCTAATGCCCTCCTTGATGAGTGAAGGCCAACTACGTCGTAAGAAGGACCCTTTTTGTCTGTCATCTTCTTTCGATTAGGGTCGGGGTCAGAAGTTCAATAGGAAGAACGCCACGGTGACTGAATGAAAGTACTCTATTAAAGACGGGGGCAGCTTTTAGAAATTGGAAAGGTGGATGGTCTGGATATCCCATCAGAGTACAAATCTGGTCTTGTCTTCATTCCATTATTGTCCTGCACGCTGGAATCTGAATTAACCCCAAAAAAAAAGAAAACTCTGAAAAAGTAGATACACTTTTCAGGGAGTCTGCCACCAGAAGCAAAGACCAAGGCTTCGTCTCCTGCTTCTGCTTCTGTGTCGTGCAGCCGTGCTAGGCTGCTTAGCATATTTAGAAAATTAGAAGCATGTAAGTAACTTAAAAACCAAGAAACAAGAAGTGCCAGAAATATAAAGGTCTTAATGATACCATTAAATTTATTTATGTATCGATATAATTGAGGACAATAGGGGACCAGATGCATGCATAACAATGAACTGTCAACATTACATCAATTTCTTTTCAGATTTCCATAATTTTCTACATTAATCACATTTGCAGCCACTCGTATTCTTTTCTTTCCTCAAAAAGATGCAGAGATTCGACTCTCATTGCTATCCATTCACCACCTTATTACCTTGAACGCCTTTCCTCCCTAAAACAATGACGTGATCTTAATTAATGGCTAGGGGCCCGCAAAAATTTCACATCCGTCCACCCATGCCTGACATCTTACGACCATCATCGGAGAATTTTGATTTCGTACAGCGGCAGCGCTCATCATCTGGTGATGATGAAGTAATGAGACTGACAAGAAGATCGGCAAAAGCTCCGACGATGAATTTGTGGGTTCTCTTGGGATTGAGAGACAGATAGCAGGTGAGAAGCTCGTGCAAGTAGTCCCAATTGGCTGCAACGTCGATCAGGTCATGGGCCTCCACCATTTCTTGCATGGACCGTCGAAAGTCCATGAAAGGGTCTGGCGAATAGGTCGCAACAGCAATGCTTCCTCCCACGACGCTGTCGGGTTCGGTCGGGATGCCCGGAGACGACGAGGAGGTTGACGATAGGGACGATGAGGAGTCTATGATGGAGTTAGAACGGCCAGGAGAGGAGCAGAAAAAGCGTTGGGATGCGAAGACGGTGGAGAAGTCCGGGGTGGAGGAGGTGGTGTAGGATTCGGAGGAGGAGAGGTCGTCGTCGGAGGTGGTGGTGGCGGACGTGGGGTGGGGAAAGGACTTGGAATAGGTGGTGCAGTCAAAAGTGAAATCGTAGAGGGAGTTGAAGTTCTTGATGAGGACTGATGCTGCGGAGCTGGATAGGGAACGGCTGTGCTCAGCTTGGATCGAGGATTGGGGAGATGAGGGTGCCGTGATATTTGTGAAGCAAAGATTTATGTTTCTTCCCAGATTGCTTGGCATTTTTTCTCGCCCTATAATCTTCTTGCTTAATTTACACTCTCCACTTTGGACTCAGGGAGAAGGGAGGGAGGGAATATGATTATTGGTATGATATGATGAGTTTTTTGAGTTGGAGAGGTGGAATTGGGGAGGATAGATAGATGCAGTGCGTTCACCGTTCACTATTCGGACAAGAGTTTGGCACTTAGAACCCATAGGCTGGCTGGCCAACCCATATTTATGTATACTGAGACTTGTGAAGTGAGAGAATCTCATTGATCATAAGAGGAAGGAACTTGCAAATTTAAACTCCGTTTGGATTATTATTTTTAGAAGTTTCTATAGAAATATATACCACAACGATTTGATTTCTATATATCATAATGATTTGATGTATATGAAATAAAAAGATAATTAAAAAATATGTCCACGAAAACGTAATAATTTTTTACACAAAAAAAATGACCATAAAAAATTTCCCACTTATACAACCCTTACATTCACAAAATATGCGTTCGTGTCTGTATATCATTGTTCAAGTATCTTCGATTTAGAGGGATGTGTACATCAAAACTTCAAACTTTCAAGTACTAGTTTTTAAAGACTATTGATGCTGTATTATTGGTAACAAAAGATGGATTTATTTATTGTCCCGTATTCCTCCATTACATACATATCATGATATATGGTAGCTGTAAATATCTAATTAGTACAGGGCAAAAGCCGCAAAACAAATCCAGCAAAATGCAACTAGCGAAGGAGTGAAAGCGGGAGGGTGGGGCTTAGGGTCATTGGAGTTGGTGAAGATTTTGTAGCAAGTAGCTTCTTCCTGGCCTCTTGGGACTTAAAAGGCGACTACTCAGCGGCATTAGCAAAATGCAATAGGACTGGTGGGTTGTGGACCTCGTTCTCATTAATGGACGCATATCAATATTTATGTTATATACATCATATTTATAAAAAATATATATATCTAAAAGGTCAAAAGAAAAAGAGAAAACATAAAAAAAGGGAGGGGGCCGGATAGAGGATGGATAGAAATGAACTTTAAAAAAAAAAATTCAGAAGAAGAACAAGAATTTCGTGTCTTACGACGATAATCATCCATCAAATCCACCGCTGGAGTGGGGCAATTTGAAACCGAAAATGTGTAGAGCTAGTGTCGCGCCCCATTTTTCGCGATGGAAAAGAAAAATAAAGTGTGAGGTTTATAAATAAATTTTTATGAAGTTAAAAGGGAACCTAGAATGGGACTTAAAAGAATGCGACAATTTGGGTCCAAAATTTAGTCTAAAAGGGTTTTTAAGAAAAAACAGGAGTCGCCACTTGGTATGGAGTTTTGGTGTACCAAGTCACCCAAAAAATAAAGTAAAAAAAATAAAACCCTTTTTTGACAACTCCAGGTCTTTGAAAAAAAGAAAAATGGATTCGGGAGTCACGGTTGAAGAAAGGGAAGGCAAAGATTCGATTAACTCAAATCTAAGGCACCCTTTCAACCTAGTCTAAGCTAGTTGCGAGGTTTAGTCAAAATTTTCCTAATCTAACCCTTAATTTATCACATTTGGATGTTTTCTATATGAATGCAAATCTAAAAAATATCGCAAGGGACAAAGTAGAAAAAGTACATAGCAATAAATAGAATACAATGGGAAACCATTGTCTTGGAGTCATTGTGCTTCCCAGCAAAACGATTGATCTTTTCTTCTTCTGCATACAAGCAAGTGCATGTTTATGTCGTTCATTTTTAGGATAGAGGTCTCATCGGCAGAACAGATGCTTTTCACCTTCTCCTCCTTTAGTTTTATTCTACTTGCTTCTGTGCACCTCTCGTGAAGAAGGCTTTACAAGTCAAGTAACATATATCAGACTAACAAGGAGTGCCTGATCGCGGATTCTACATTAACTCACGGACATCCATGTTTTAATCTGGCAATTGCCTTAAATTTACTGACGAAGTTATGCTTAATTTTCTAATACTATCTCTGGGAACTTAAGGATTGAAATGTGGGTGTTGCCAATGATTTATAGAGCATAAGTTTATAAAAAGAGCTGCAGAATTAACATGTAACTGAGAGGGAAAGAAGGAAAAGGCTTTTGGCATTATTCTCCTTAAAGTGCAATACACAATAAACAAACCAAAGTCTGTTGAACCAAATATACGCCTAATGTATGTACTCGAGTCAAGATTATGAACGCCTCATGAGAAGAAGCAAGTCATACTAGAACATTATACACTAGGCAACTAGAGACTGACCATGGCCTCAAATCAGTAACTCCAGGTATCATTATTTTTGCAGCACTTGCTCCAGAAATGGATATGTGGATAGCTCAAAGGAGTCAACATGATAATTGCTTTGAAGATGGAGCTCTATCAATTTTTGCTTCTTACAAAGATAATGAACATCAGAAGCTTTAATTTGCACGGTCCCTGATAACTTCGAGATCCATTTCAGTAGGGTCAGTAGCCTGAATTTCATAATGAATTCCATCCAACTCTCTTTTAAACCTTTCTTTGGATGTAGCATAAAGCATCTTGGCACGAATTCTAGAGATTGCAGGAGACCTGATAAACATGCATATGACCATAGTCAAATAGATACCTCACATAAGAGCTGCGCATGGTAAAATCTTAAATTCTGTATCAAGTTAGTCAGTATCAGGAAGATATCATTATCGTGAAAGAGAAAATATAAGGCCAGAAAGATAGCGCTTGATAAGTCACAACCATCAGTAAGTAATCTATTCAAGTTATTGCAAGTATAGAAATTAAAAACAAACAGCAGACAATTGTACAGGTTATGAACAATTAATCTGTCAAACGCTAACTTAAATCGATGTGTTTGTCCTAACATTAGGCGTATCAAAGGGAGTGAAACTGGTTATGTCAACTGAGTGGCACATCCAATTTTCTTCTTTTTCAGCAAAGTTTTTGCCCACAAGAGCCAGAAAAAAAATTATAACACAAAAAAGAAAAAAGAAGAAGAAAGATGGTAGTAGATATAGAGAGGAGGCAAAAAAATGTTAAAAGACTGGATGAGAAAGTACTAACCATGCAATGAAGAAAATCTTGCTCTTTTGACAATTCTCAGAGGTGACAAAATCAAAGTCATAGACTGCATAACGGCAATCATTTTCAGGCATGGAAGCAGTAAAATCGTCATAGCTTTCAGCTGGATTGCCAGTTTTCTCAACTACAACTTCCTTTTTCTTCTCATCGATCTTGAATATAACATAGCGGTAAGCCTTCTTCCTCTTCAACTCCAAGAATGCATCTTTGCTGTGATCAGCAACTCCCATACCAGAAGTAGCATTTTGCTGCAATATAATATACAAAAAAAAAAAAAAAGAAACCCGGTCGTCATTATTACCTGAAAAATGTCAACCGCTCCAAACTATCAAACAGAAAATTTTTCGAAACGACGCCCTTTTAAGGAGCATATAAATTGGAGTACAAGTTTCGCACTAAAATCATCAGCATGATCAAGAAGAAAAAATTCACGAGCTCGTGAAAACGGAGAGAAGCAGAGAAAGACATACTCCTCTGATTCTGAAAGACATAGCTGAAGATACGGTAACTGCGGGAGGGCCACGAAGAGAAGTTTCAAATATTCAAAGAAGAAATGAGAGTATGAATGTGATTGTGTAAACCTGAACTGCAAGTTTGATTCTGCGGTAATGGACGGGGGAAAGGAATGTGGTTATAAGGTTTCGGACGGAAAGTCAGATAAAGACTTTTGGACTGAGAAGAAAAGAAAACGGGATAAAGGAAAGAAAAGCATATATTCCCAAAACCAGAGGAGAAAAGCAACCAAAATTTCCTATGTGCTAAAAAAAGGAAGTTGGCCAAGATCTACCGACCAAATTCAAGTCCCCTATGTGCTAAAATACAATTGACGATAGCCCATTACTCGGATTTTTTCATTTTTGATGACGTAAGAATAACCATGTCCCATGGGGTTTTGAGAACTGCAGTGACCATTTACCTACCAGATCTTTATATGGTTCATGTAATTGTTATCTACATGCTAGTACTAGCAATCATAAGCTTATAGATATGGAATCACCCGATGCAAAAGTCCAGGATTAAAAATATTTTGTAATAAAAATACCTCCAAGGATTTCCATGATTATCCAAACCTCCAACGAGGTTAACGTAATTTTGTTGAAAAGCCTTTTTTGTCTTTCTCTGTGCCTTTTGACTTCCTTGGTTGAGGCCCTTGAATTGATGGTGTGGTTTGGAGTTGGGGCAGAAGCTGTAAATATGTCCAATTATTACTTTGTTGCGCAAAGACGAAAGAACACTTCTACTTTTTTTAATGGAAGGTTGATGGCTTTCGAGGAAAAGAAGGTAGCTAATGAAGATTTGCACCAAAACAATTTAGACAGTAGTGTTAGTGGAAAGAAATGGAATCCCATGGACCCCCAGGCGGTGCGTTGAAAGTAAGCTTTCCCACTTTTTTGCAAGCCGAGCGGTGCCACCCCAGATTTTATAGAAAACGTTCCTCTCTGCGGAGCAAAGAAAGGACCACAGGTACATTCCTACTTTTCCTTTTCCTTTCTTTCGCTGTTACCATGATATGCTTGAAAATTAGCAGGGATAAGGACCGGAATAGAGGTCTAGACCCAAAAAAATGACAGATGGTCTTCCACCCTCTCCGACATCTTGTACAATTGGACTTAAAAACACATTATGAGGAGGAAGATGCCAAAGCAACATCAGCAGGTAATCAAAAATAGCCGACACCATATACGACATTCAACCGGAAAAAAATGTGAACCTACTCTACTATTCCACAACAAACATGAAGAGGGGTGTCGCAGCCTTGACATCTGATAGTAAAGGCATAGATTTCTAGCCCCAGAACTTTAACAATGTCGAACTAGCAACGGAGAATCTCAGAATACCAAGGATCTCGACAAAATGACAATTGCAATTTGCCGGATCCAGTCGGCCACAAAATTTTTGACTGCCAAGCGCCAAAGTAATTCTATCCCTGCCAAGACAAGATGATTGAAAAAGATGTCCTGCCTTAGTTGTTTTTTCCCTTCTTGCATGAAAATCATGGGGATTTGTACATATCTACTTACAACAGCATATGCTGAAATGATAGCCAAGCAAGGATCGCATAATAATGTACATTATGACAACCAAAAAAGCTCCATTTCCACCTCGGTTAGAATGCATTCGCAATGAAGTTATCAACCTGCATCATGCAAGACCAACAGATGTACCATCATACGAGGAGTCACCACTACATTAAATCAGCATCGTCTTCATAGTCAAAATCTGGTTCGCTTGATTGCCTCGATCTCTTTGCATCTCTAGGGCCACCCCTACCCTTCTTTGGTTTCCCTCTGTGGAGATAACAAAAATTTATCCAAATCAATCCCTATCCATGTCAAAATTTTCAATGCGCACAGAAGGCACTACCTGCATCAGACGAAATAAAATACTTACTGTCCATTAGCCAATAAAGCCCCACCATCTCGTCCAGCAGCTTGTTCTTCTGCCTGAGCAAATGAAGGAAATCCAAATGAGAAGAGAAAAAAAGACAACAGTCAAGATGATATTGCTAATGAACAGTTTACAGAATTTGTCATCCTCCTTTACTCACACATGCAAAGTCTCGTGCTAGAAGACTAGACTTGTCAACAACAGAGAAGTCATTCCGGTTTAAAGAAACTAGGGGGAGTTTCCACAGGGGATAGCAAAACACAGACTAAATGTTTTACACAAAAAGGTAGAAAATTATTCCCAATAGCCATCTTGCTAGCACATGAAGTGGTAAGAGGCTACTAGTTTATTATTCATTTTTGGAACTAAATTCAAGTGGCAAGGAATTTTCCGAATCAATAAACTTTCTGAGTAATCTATATAACCATCTCCATTATCAATATGTATTGTTTAACCTAATCCACCAAAGAACAAGCCCACCAAACACAAAACACTTCATCCAGATCTCTCAGAGATATTGAGAGAACCAATGCTTTATAATTCCTCTATATCTGCAGAAAATAAGTAGTGCTAGACATTCAAACCATCTTTTGTCCTACCAAGAATCTTATCCCCTAAATGCTGTCAATCTAGAAAATGCATGGTTTTATTACATATAAAGATGAAAAACTCTATTACATGCACCGTTTTGGAACATCAGTCGAGCTTAGGAAGAATATAAGTGCATAGCTTGCTAGTGGGTTGCGAAAAAGAA